GCCCGCGGTCCCCGCCCCCGGGCGCCTCCGCCGCCGACGGCCCGGCGTGATGTCACCGTCCCCAGTCGTCGGGCATGGCCCCCGGGGGAGCTCGGGAAGGGTCCCTGACCTCGGTCCCGGCGGTTAGGAAGGCGGACCCGGCAGTCCGGGCGATGGGGCTTTCTAGCCGCCCCCGCAGGGCACCCCGCCCCCCCTTTTCTGTAAACCCTTGGGCGGCCGAAGGGAAGGGAGTGAAGTCCGTGGACAGGTGACATGGGGTGGGCGGCTGTGCCGGGAAGGGGCTCCCCGGCCGGCCGCACAGGTGAGGCCCGGCCCGGCGGGCCCGACGGACAGGTGGAGGCGCTGGCCATGTGGCCTCTGGCGAGAGGGACAGGTGTGCGCGGTGAGGGTCGGGTTTGGAAGACAAGAGTAAACTCATTATGGAGAATCGACCTACTTGATACTTACAGTTATGGGTTCACCTTTATTAAGCTTTTGAAGTAGGGGATGGGGTTTTTCCCCCCGGAAATGCTCAGAAATTGCCCCGAACCCCCCCTCCCCCAAGGGTAAGTTAAAATGGTAGAGACAAGCGTGACATCAGAGACGCACGGACCCGTGTATGTATTTAAGGCTGCCAACACAAAACCACCTTTGTTTAAGCCACTTTCATAAAATCCGGATTCACCAGATAAATTCAGAGAACCCAGCTTGGTTCCCCAAGGTATTTTTGAGGATGAAAAGTAAGGAAGCATCTGGTTTTGTGATAAGCCTTAAAAGGCAATGAGGAGAGAACTATGCCAGAGGGTGCAAGGAGGTAGATGCCCTGGTGACAAGTGAGGCACCCCGACCCCAGGACAGCACACAGTGATACTGTGTTTCAGAACTGCACCTGCTCCCATTCATTGTCCACGTTTTCACTGCTCCATGCAGCTTCCCCGAATTTCCTTGACATCACTGCCTTATGGTGAATGGTTAAGATGTGGAGCTATAGTTTGGATTTTGAAATGGAAAACCAGCAAAATTTCTCCTTTACAGAGTTTTTCCTGTTGACATCTTTGATTTATACTTGAGCAAAAAAAAAGAGTTCCCAACAGAGGATATAACGTTATATTCTATTTTGGAAGCAGAAAGGACGGTTATTTTTTTCCCAGAAGACAAATAAATGAATTAAAAAATCAACCCCAATTACAAGGCTAATACATTTCCTTGGAGTAATTATAGTTGAGAAAGAACTCTGTTTGCCTCAGATAAACCTCTCATTATCATTCTTTTGATATCATTATCTGGGGAGAAAGCCAGGAAAAGAACTCTCCTCCCATTTTGCAGACTTAAGGGAGATTTAGGGTACGTTTCTGATACATGTGATTTCAGAGGGTAAGTTTGTTAGGCAACGACTTAGGTGCTTTCTCGGTCTCCTTGTCACACTTGTAAGGGGGGTAGTACCCGCCCAGCTCACCTCAGACAGCTCGGGCTGTGCATTTTCATCCCTGTGGCCACTCGTTCCATGAATATTTATTCGGTGTGGGCCTATCATGTGCTGGGTACTGCAGAGAACAGGAGAGAAGGCCCTGTCTCTTGGATCTGATGTGCTGGAGGGAGGGAGGGAGGGAGGGAGGCATTGACCAGAAACAGCAGAACTCGGTTAGGTGGCCCGTGGCTAGAGCATGTAGAGGACAGGAAGCAGGTGGAGGCCGGGGCGCGGGTAGGGGGGACACACAGGCAGTCTGAGCAGGGGACACTTGGGCTGAGATCAGTGCTGTGAGGCGCTCCTGGAGGCCTGAGGACAGAGTGTCACGGGCAGGGGAGTGGCAGGTGCAGAGGCCTGGTGTGGAATAAGCTCACCCAAGGGTGAACAAGGCAGTGTGAACGAGGGGAGAAAGCACAGGAGGGCCACACAGGCTGTGCACCATTAAGAGTGTATCCTGAGTGCCCAGTGGATGCCACGGAGGGCTTTGGGCAGGGGTGGGACAAGATCTGTGTCTTTTTAGAGATGACCCCGTGCTTGCCACGTGGGGAATCCGGGCCTGACAAGATTCCATGATAAACAGGGTGGAGGCAGGAGGCAGAGGAGGAACCAGGACCAAGTGTATTTCTAGAGCCAGGAGGCCTTGCTGCAGGTTTGGTTGGGAAATGTGTGGTGGTTGACTGGAGGTGCCATTTACGGAGGTGCAGGTGACGGGTGGGTGGCAACCGGGGAGGAGGGGATGGTGACCGGGGGAATCAGGGCCCTGCAAACAGTGGCGTCTTCAAACCGCCCCTCTGGGGTGGGAGAAACCCTTGCTCGGGGCCTAGAGTCTGGGTCCTCGACTTCCCTCTACATGCTGATCCTGAGGAAGGGTCCTTCCTCTCGGGGTCCATGAGAGAGCAACCCCCATCCCCAGTCTGGGGGTGGGCCAGGGCCCTGGGGTGCAGAAACCTCAGGATCCAACAGATACGTGGGTGTCGTGTGGGTGTCAGGGGAGTGGTTTCACTGTGGGTAAGAGACCTCAGGCTTTCGGTGGATGGAAGGCATCCTGACGCCGGTGGAGGAGGTGGGGACCCATGGGCGGTCACGGTGGTCGGTGATGCATGGCCGCAGGGGACGCTGTGGTGACAGAGCTGCTCACTCACGGTTACTCGTCTGCGGAACCAGGCTCCCTGCACTCGCATTGACAGAAACAGAGTAGGAACAGACTTGCACGTGTGTCTGTGACAGGTGGACCGGCTGGGGAAAGGCCTCTCTGCCTCATCAAGCATGGTCTCTATGTCAGATGACTGTTTATCGAAACGTATGCTGTCATTTTGTTCGGATCGGTGGGGTTCCAGTTATTGCAGTGCTAACTCAACCCCGAAGAAATGATCCCACGCTCTGGTCATAGAAAATCAAGACTGATTTGATTTACGTGCAGAAACCGTGAGCCTGTTTGCAGGGTGGGCAGTAGCGTCATCTCAGGCGGGAACACGGAGCAGTGGGGTTAGGGTCCGCAGGGAGAGGGGTGGAGACCCCAAAGACGGGCCAAGAACTTCCTGACAGTTGAGGGAGAGCTCGTGCCTGTGCTCCCTAAACAGATGGCAGGAGCTCTCACACCGATGCTTGATTCCAACAGACACGTTTAGAAGAGTGACCTAACAGTTTTATTTTAAGAAGCCAATATTTATAATATGCTGGAAATTATGTCCCTTGCAGCTGTTAAAACTAGGGACGAGCAGCTTAAGCTGTCAGCTCCCATGCAGGGAAGGTCAGCAAAGAGGTCGGTGGTGCCTGCAGCCAGGCATCAGGTGGGGTCAGGGACCGAGGGCTGGACTGGGGACACGGGCATGGGAGGCGACGTGGGGGCAGGTGCTGGGTCCGGAGGGAGAGAGGACCCAGGGGCAGCCTGAGTTACCCCCCACCACCACCGGAGGTGGCTTTGGGCAGGAGACAGGAAGGGAGGGGAGCTTAGGAAGGCGCCCCCAGAGAGACTAAGGAAGACTAGGACTTTGCAGAGGGAGGGCGTGAGGGCTCCCTGCAGAGTGCCTCCCCCCTCTGGGTGCCTAGCGCTGATGGAGGGCTGGCTCATCAAGATGGAAGGCGACGTGGCTGATGGGTGCACCTGGGTGGAGCCATGGGGGTGAGTCCTCCCCTTCAAGAGAGATGGGGAGGTGAGGAAGCCAACAGAGTTCTTCCCGGGAGTTTTGCAATAGAAAGAAACAGAAATGGGTCTTTAGAGCCATGGGGGAGGTGATGTAAGGAAAACATTTTTGTTTGTTTTAATGAGTGAGCTCTAGTTGAGGCCGGTGTGAACATTGCAGGGCTGTAACTTGCTGCTGAGGAGGGTGCAGGTGGCCTTGGGTCTCCCAGGGGGAAGTGGGCGTGGCGGGCCCGTGTGGGGCAGGACAGGTGTGGCCAGGAGGGGCCATTTGGATGAGGTCCTCAAGATTGGATAGGAGTTTGACAGATGGAGGGAGAGAGTTTCTGGAACAGGAAACAAGAAGAAGGGGTCATGGAGGCTGCAAGCTGGCCATGCATAATTTGGGGTGTTGAGGAACCCTTGGAACGGCGCAGGGGGCAGCTCCAGGTCACAGTGGGGGCCTTGCTTAGGCCTCTCATCCTCAAAAAGTCCACAGAAATCCAACTTTGGACCCTCCCCGAGCCTTCCTGAGCCTGCGGGGTCGTAGTTCCACAAACTCACATAAAATTGAAACTTGGATTTCTCAGAGATGATGCCTTTCTTTGCCTGGTCTGGGCCGTGGGTTACTGGCTTCGTTTGGCTCGTTTTTGGTGTTTAGCATGCTCGGCGTCTCCAGCTTACAGCTGTGAGCCTTGATGGATTGCAGGTATCCGCAGAACGCAGCTGTCCAACAGCCTTCGGCCCTCCATGCGGCTGGAGGCACACTCTTCGCGAGTCGGGCATCCTTATGTCATGAGCCGCGCGGGGATGGATTGTCACTTCCCACTCACGCTCTGGGGAGGAGAGCCTGTACCCGCAGGACAAGCAATCTTAGAGAAGGAGTGGTCCACACGTTT